CTGCATGTTTTGTCCTGACAATACAGCCGTGTCCCGAGTCCTCTGTCTTCTCCTTATCGCGTAGTCTGGCAGGCTCAGTCCAGGCGTAACAAATGGACGGCCGTCCACGATACAACAGTACTCGAACTCAATGGTTACTTGGTCAACTATTCGTCCATACTACTTCATTGGGTTATGCAAAATTCAGCCTCATGCATTTCATGATTTCAACAAATGACGTCGGATAAGTCTTTCGAAGGCATCTGAACAATCAGGTGTTGCAGGAGTTGTTAGAGTCTTCCCTCGGTTTGGACATTTGCGGTGCTCATCCTGGTAGTTTTACCCACTCGATGTGACACCCGACTTCTCTGCCTCCGGGGGGTACTTTCAATCCGCAACCATTCGGTTCTGTATCCAGAGCACAGATCAAAAGTTCGTGATAGTGGTCAGTAAAGTGCAGGGCATCCGATTTGCCTCTTGTTCACGTGGTCAGGCAAGTCTAGATGCAGATGTTGTTTCTATCAACGTTGAACTTGTATACACTCGAGTCCAATCTTTTAGTTATCCAGATATGGATGTACGTCAATCTGTCAATGGACCAGGCTGGTTCCAATATATGTGGAGTGACAGCCAGTGAATTTAAGCGGCCTGATCAACACAACATGCTCAGGAATCTGTGATCGAGGAACTCGCGCCTGTTTGTGGCACGATTTTTCTATGTGGATAATGAACAGGTAGGCGGGCATAACAACCGAACCGGAGGAACAAGAATACTCTGAGGCTGGTAATAGACGTGGGGGGCACGTTTGCGCTAGTACAAGCATGTCAAAGACAAACTGAGACCACCGAATAAGTTCCGTTCGATTCCCTTTTGTAAATGAAAAGTTGGAACGTCTGAAGATAAATCACCGACTGAGGTAATCCCCCCCCCCCGAATGAAACCAGTTGCTCAGATTCCCCCTAGCGGAAGTCTGTACATGTGAACAGATATATGAATAATAAAATTTGGCGTGCAGTAGAAAACGGGATAGTACAGTGTGGTGTAGTAATACGTGGTACAGCACGGCCAGTCTAGCACAGTCTAAGAGAGTAAAGTGAAATATAATGAAGCAGAGCATAGTATAGTATAGTATAGTGCAATATAGTATGCTATAGTATAGTATAGTATGGTGTAGTGTAGTGTAGTGTAGCATATTATATTATATTACGGTATAATATAGTTTAGTATAGTGTGTTACGGTATGGTATGGCTCAGTACAGTATAGCAAATTATAGTGTAGTGTTATATAGTCCAGCCTTTGCGGCATGTGAACGGAAATGACAGCACAGACACGGAGAATAGAAAAAACTGCTGGTGTTCTAAAACATTTCGCGGACAGTTTGTGACAGAGGGTTGCAGCACTCGGCAAGCTACAGCAATCAACATCTGTCGCATATTAGATAAGTCACATACCCAACAGTTTTGACTGCCTTGCTCTGCCCGGCATCTTCCAACCAGAATAGCACATTATGATCACCATTAGACACACGAAACCTACCTGCGCTCCTCAACTTTAGGCATAAAATATGCCAGGTTAGCCGGTGCAGTACGCAATACAAAAATTTATTCTACTACACTGGATTCCAGTTTGTTGTTTTTTATTTGTAATGCAGATGATCAAACTCTTGTTCTGCTCAAAGGAAACTGCATTATGGAGGAAGAAGTGAGTTTACCAAATGTGCGAAATATGCCGATTTATCACTACATGTCTTCGATTATCAGGAACGTCCTAAAAGTAATCACAGAACGCCCGGAACTCACTGAGGCCTTAAAACTCCGTCAAAAACTCAATAGGAAAACCGGTCAGCATCCAGACCAGTCAATCATTTAATCGATTCATCAAATGCTGATGAGTGTTCAGGCACGCCACAAAAGCACAACCGAATGTGATCTGCGTTCAGGCATTTTATAGAAGAACGATCGATGTTGATGGGCGTTCACTAATTGCCAATCAGACAGCCTTGATCAACGTCAAAATGTGTCCTTTGAATAGCGCGGGCCCGCTGTAACTTTTGTACTCGCACGCACTCGTTTGCTTCAGTAAAGCCGTTGTATTCCTTGTCGGTGTGTTCTTTTTCTGGCACCAGGCATCGAAGCGGAAACAGCAGTCAGATATAACAGGGATTAACCATGGTCGTAGGCTTGTTCGCTGAGGTGGGCAATTTGATTGCAAGCGTTTCACCAGCAATCGAGGTGACATCATCATTGCGTTATTGGGGAGCGTAGTGGTGCGTAGCGGTGGGTTAATGGTCAGTGGTACAAACCGACCCGTCGCTACGCACCACTACGTTCCCCAATAACGCACTGATGACGTCACCTCGATTGCAATCGAACTGCCCAGCTCAGCGAACAAGCCAACAACCATCTACGCTACCCGAGCTACTAACACTTTTTATATAGAAAATAACACGCTGTGGCCGAGCATGAAGTTGAAACCTATCGGGCATCCTTCCACCTTGTGCAAACTAATCGTGTTATTGCTCCAGGATGAGGAGGAAAATGTTTCTACAAACCCCGCAACCATCAAAGCAAAAAAATTTGCGCTCGTTCTTCCACGTTCAGTTCAGTTGTAGCACCCTTTCGGGACCTAGCTGCCACGCCACCCGAAGAAAGCACGAGGGCTGGGATACTGCCAAGTTGCCCAAGCCTGGACAGGGGAGGTCGAGAGACGGAGGTCGGATTCGAACCACGGACCTTCCGGGCAGTAAATTCGCGCTCTAACCACTCGGGCCAGCTGTCTAACGTGCCACCGTCTAACGAAGGCGTCCTGAGTAGGGAACGTTTTGCACGATAAACACTTCATTTTTGGCTGCTACGTGGAACATTTTCCTCTAGGGCTTAACTATTTCCATCATCAGGATGACAGGGCGACTAACAAATGTCTTGATGCTATGATGAACAAGCAAAAATACAGTAACACTAATGACCGTCATTCTCGACTGCCTTACAAATCCAGATGATATTGGCAAGTCTCCAAATGAAAAAGACAGCCCTTTCGGGAATAATATTGTGCAAAAATCAAGATTAATCCTCGTAGATTTCTAACCCGTTCACGATGGCCCATTGACACAAAAGACTCACCGCCGGACAAAGAATGTCTGTCTGTTAGGCACAGGTGTGTCAAACCACCTGTGACGTGCAAACGAGTATTGGAGTCAACCTTCTCGGTAGCTTAGTTGATAGACCTGCCAACTATTTGTTACCAACCAATTTAACGGTACATGCAAGAATTTGCCCTAATAGATGCAGCATTTAACACGGGGTGGATCTTCTGATGTCACAAGCATCGAACTGAATTTTCTACAAATTGTCCCCTTCGTTATACAAAAGCTTGTGTTTTTGTCCCTCAGGCTGAAGGATACATCAACGCCAGCTATGTTTATGCAGTCGAGCCTTGCAAAGACGCCTACTCGTCGCCTTCATTGGATAGGTCTCGGGTGGATTATATTGCCGCGCAAGCCCCACTCAAGCGGACAGTTGCAGATTTCTGGCAGATGGTTGCGGAAAATCGTGTCACACTTATCGTAATGCTGACAGAGTGAGTCTGAGAAAGTGTTCTCACGTATATCTTTGTAATGTACTACTCATAAAGTTGCTGAAAATTCGTTGACAATCCACGACCGTTTTCGCCATTCTTGGGGCTCATCAGGTAGGCGCAGTCCCCGGGTTTCCATCAAAATTATGTTCTACTTGAAACCAAATTGCACGAAGTTAGCGAATTTGCAAATTAATTTGTTTTTTCGAGAGACTCACCTGGAACCCAACTGAATCTCTCGTTTGTGGTATTTTCAGGCAACTGGATGTGCTCACGTAGTCCAACCTTCTTCAGTTTTTGAAATTTTAACTGTTAACTGTTTAACTGGTAATTTAGTATGCGTAATGGTTTCTATTAGGTGTTGCTTTGACGTAAACAGGGCGTTTCCACGTCTTTTTGCTGATGGAGAAACCTTCAAGATGAGGGCTGAAAATGAATTCTTTCGTTTACTGAGTTTATGCGAACACCGGTGAACAACTTACCTTAGTATGAAACTATCGAGTGCTAGTAAGTTACGCCACTGTGGCGGAGATAATAGCTTTCATGAAGCATATTAGAAAGATCATCAAATTTGCAGTCAACCATCAGTCGGAGCTAGGTGATGTGACGTGGAACTAGGGTTGAGTCTCTAGTGGAAACCAAATTGATTTGCGAATTAGCGTATTTTTCAAAAACAGTTCAATTTGTGTTCAAGTAGAACATAAGGTTGACGGAAACTCGGGGACTGCGCCCACCTGATGAGCCCCAAGAAGAGCGAAACCGGTCGTGGGCTGTCGAAGAGTTTTCAGCAACCTTGTGAGTAAGTTTCCTTTATGGGGTTCAACTTCTTTGATATCGTCTCCACCTATTGTAGCAACACCTTTCGTGATCGAGGTTTTCGCCACTTGACTACAGTTTCATTAAAGCGCTCATGTTCTCTAGAGGTAGAATGCCAATTTGTTGTAAAAATAAATAAGGAACAGTCGAATGGGAATTTGAAAGACGCCGATTTTGAAAACATTGGGAAATGGCGAAGTAGGTAAAATTAGTTGGATCAATTTATTTCCAGGAGGCAATGAAGCAATGGCAGTCACGTGTCACAGAAATAGTGTATTTTGAGTGTGTGATAAACGGGTTTCGGGAATTAGGCTGGTGAATTCTAATCTGCCTCTCCCAGACTCCTTGCCATCAGTTGCTCAATCGTAAGAAAACGAAATAATCAGGGGTCTCGGATGCTCCAAAACTAACGTAACAAAATTAGAGGCCCCATCCGAATGCCTGTTCAGCAGCGACCCCACACAAACTCCGTTCCACGTTCTAGGGTTCTCCATACCGGCAGATCCAAATCACTACCAAGACCGACATATTCAAACAGTTTTTAAACAGACCGGATCACGCGATCTCGTGGAATTCAGCGACATTATATTCGAATGACAATCGGTGATCGAATGGGATCAAAGACTTGAAAAGAGACTGCCATGAGGATGGAAGTTAGGTGGCACACGAAGAAATGCAAGAGAAACGGATTTATGGATGTGACATAGACCGTTCGTTCTGACTAAGCAGCGAAAAGCGGAGCCCAGTACGGCTGAGGGCGTTGGACAGCAAAATCTTCTATCCAGTACAGGACTGGTCTTCGGGTTTTACGAATGGCCATTAGGGATAATTCCTGTAGGCAAATGTAGTCTGTTGTACCAACAGTGGGTTTCCTCATGCATGCTTCTGGATATCTACTCATCGGTTTGAATATCAATCGCTAGGCGCGCTGAATTATGCCCATCCGTTTAACCCACTTTCACACTGTTTGACGTTGATTGTCATTCACACATGACAATAGAATCATTTTGACCAGATTCACCCGGTCAGCGCTGCAGAGCAACTACACTCACAGTAGTTACACAGTTATCGATAACTGGTTCGGCTTTCTGCACCTTTTCCATTTTGGTTATATGCGCTCAGTAACATCAGACTCAGTTGATTAGTTTTTCAACGATAAGTGCCACACGGAGATTGTCTCCATCGAGTTTATTTAATTACACCAACGTAATTGGCAACTGAATGTGTTTCACCAAATGCGTACAACTTGGTGTTAAAGTGGACCATACGGTTGATGGTAGCTTGGGGACAATGCCTATGTACTGGGCCTTGGGATTTGAGAAACCTTCAGGATGTTTTTTCAGCAACTGTTTCGCATGTACACTGCGCCTCCAGTTCAAAGGTGTGCTCCCCTGGTGAGGAGTTTGTGCATCAGGGTCCTCTTATGGCTGAAAGGAACAGGATTCCAAAGAACTATGTACATTTCTAACTTGCTTTTTTCTGATTGATTTTCCTGATCATGCAACATTCTGTTTCGCTGGTATTCAGAATACCCAAGAAAGCAAGTTTCCCGCTGAGATTTTCTCTTTTCAGTGAAGCTAATCTGTGCTGAAAAACCAGCATACTGTTTCGTTCCATTCTTACCGGGAATCATCTGCTGCTGACGCAACTCCAGGGAGTTTGAAACCTTTCGGTCAGCAATGTGAATACTTATCAGTTCGTTCACGAGCATATAATCAGCACTGTGCTTATCATTTAGTCACGGGACCCACATCACGTGGTCACACGAGTTGACTGGCTCCCGGAGTAAAGATCTCCCGTATGGATGTCCCATGGAGTGAATTTTATCCTTCTTCTGAGCTACTTACAGACTGTTAGTGTATAATGTAGATTCGATCCAGAAAATGAAGCTTACCAACATGATGGCGGATTCTAGTCTCCCTGGAGTTCCTAATAAGAACGAAACAGCTGCACAGTGATTCTTGGTTTTCAGCTTAGATTAGCCTCACTACAGTAGAAATCCCCAGCATTGCAGAAGTGTATGCGTGGGTGTAATGGTATTTTCGTGAACAGCCACACAAAAGTGCATGAACCGTTAAAAGGGTGCATCACCAATCAAAACATGTGGCTGAAACAAGCCAGATGCTGTACTGTTCCAGATCAGCTCGACTTTAGTGCGGACAATTATTTGCTCATTATCGTTTTTCCATTTAATTATGAGTAATATGCAAAAGAACTTACGATTTTGTCCCCCACAGGTTGAATGAAGGAGGCACTTCGAAGTCAGCCAAGTACTGGCCGGATGAGGTTTACGCAACCACTTCTCACGTGTGGTCTGGCAATGAACTGACTGTCACTTTGATTGCCGAGCAAGATCATCCAAGTTTTGTGATCAGAACCCTCAGTCTGGTGTCAGTAAGTTATCCTTTAGCTGCGCATTGATCAAATCTTACGAAGAAACGTTTGCTTGCCGGTCAGTAAACTCAGTGAACAGACTAAAAGTCACCTAGTCAGCACTATAACCATGAATTTTCCAATACACTCCAACGTGCGATTGACTGGCGGAGTTTCGAGCCTTTGTCTGATTAAATAGAGTAGCTGACGGCTTACTGAAGGTCACACTCATGCCAGACCATATGCACACAAGGATATTAGTGCATCTACTTGGGGTTTCACTGAACCGGGGGATCCGATAAATCAGCCGTCCTGGATCACTCGATATCGACTCATCGGCGTGTTCTCATGGATTTGTGAAAACACTTTATCCTTATGAATAAGTACAATCAGTGTTCCACGAGTTGCAATACGCAACAGTGTTTCTTTTTCCGCTTGTATCAGGGAATGTCTTCTCGCCTAAACATGTCAGTGACAAGCATCATTAGAATGGGGGATTACAGTCTATTTGCTGCAACAATTGTAGCCAAGAAGAGAGTGTGTAAATCAGTCACTTAAAGAAGTCTGCAAAGCGAAACGTTGATGCATGTTTACCTCAAAGTTACAACTATTGTTCGTGAAAATTTTTACAACAGCAGTACTGTGCAATGAGCGTAGCTCGTGCATCAAGCGTTGTGCACTCAAGAGTCGTATCGATTGGTAACTCCATTCTCGTATAACATTGGGTTGGCCCGCATCAAGGTATTGAGTCACATGTTGAATGAGTAATCCTGAGTCAGTGATCCAATTTTCGACTGATCGGCAAGTCCGATTACCCGGCTGAGGATGAGACCGATACACCCCGAGTATGTATCGAATACATCTCTATGAAATTGGGAAAGACCTCTCAGTATATCAAATTACTCACGTACACAACCGGTGGGTACAGTCGGATGGGTTGGGACAGTTTCTTGATCAAAAAGAACCGCTGAATGGTTGATCATTAGCCAAACGAGGAATCACAAACAACTGGCTTGTCTGGTCAATCGATGAAGCCGGGAAGTTGGTGGAACTGAGAGACGGATGTGATTGAGTACTGCCGCAGATTTATCAGATTCTTTATTTGAACGTTCCAAATCAGGTTACTGTTCACCTCCTAACTGTACTTCTTTCCCAAGGTCATATTGCTTTAAGATATGTCATCAACCAGTGCGAAAATGAAGTGTAGTTGTCTGCATTTTGACTACCGAGTTTTATCCCGTGATCCTTCCATCAAGGCTGCTTGTGAAGCCATAAGTTGTCATCAGTTCCGCAACGGGGCGAGTGACATAATCACTGCCTGACCGTCGTGTGCCTCTATCACTCATTCACTTACACCGGGTGAATGTTCATTATGGCACTAGAGGTTGGGCAATGGACAGAAGTCTATTAAACACAGTCTACGATCTTCCAGCTTGAAGGTTGTCACAGTCACGGCAAATTTTCTTCTAAAAGTGTATACTACTGCGGTATCATAGCAGTAGTCACTTGCTAACTTACCGCCAGGCTTTTGACTAAACGGTATCATTTGAAGGCCTGAACCGTACGATAATCTGGGCTTGGACCCCAGCCAGCGTAAAGCCTTGAAACTGACAAAAAAGAATTCCTCACCGTCAGGTCGGACGTCTAGTGGTACCGTCATGAGGTGGCATATAGAGCACGTTGGATAAGCGAAAACATGCTGGTACCGACGTCTCTGAATTTTCACGCACTCCACAGCCGCCTAATCGCACTGACACTAACCTGTCTACTGGTGATAAGAAGGGGACTGACAGCTCAGTTAGTCAGGCATCTTCTCTCAACAGTAGCCTTCTCACATCCTTCTTTGTTGACAGCCCCCTACTTCAAGAAACCAACTTTAAATCGCACTTAGATGCCTTCAATCTTTGCACCCTGAAGCAGGTGGGGCAGCAAACTGATTTTGCTCGTGTGCGCAATTCTCCATGCTTTGACGCAGATGGTCTGGTACGCACGTACAACCAACTGCCTCACTCCCGTTTTACTTCCGGTTGCGCATTTCTGATGACTCAAAGCATGTCACTGCTGAATATGCCGGGATCAACGTTGGGTTGGGAAACCGAGCGGAGGCGTCACTATTTGACTGGATACTTCGTTGGTAGTCGCCTCTGGACGGTTCGTTCTGTAGCGTCTCTTTATTCTCTGCTTACGCCCCAACAGTCTGTAACTCTGATTCTGTCAAGTCAATCTTCTATGCTCGCTTGCGAACGTCACAACGGTCAGAATTAGTCACGGTCATATGAACTCATAAACAATTGTGCTTGGTGATTCTGATGACCGGCCGTGTAGACCTCTTTGAGTGAATGTGAACCATACGAATATGGGCGATCAAAGGTCGAAGTATCATATCAGAGTCAGCCACAGTATAAAACATAAAAAGGAACTCTTACAATCTGTTAATCGATTTCTATTTCTACTACCTCGCACACACTCGCACACCTGATTTATTGCCTGATAATCCCACTGCTTCACGTGCTAAAAGCTGATGCTTCCACGATGGAGTTTATCACGCACACAACAGGCGACAACAGTTAAAGTGATCAAAACAAAGGTTGATTAACGAACATACACTCATTTGCAAACTAATTTGGTTTTTCCAGAGACTCACCTGGAACTCCTCTGAATCTCTCGTTTGTGATGTTTTCAGGCAACTGAATGTGCTGCACCAGCCCGCCTCACGTTCCAGACGCTACGATATTCGAGATATCGCGGTGCATGTATATCTTTGTAATGTACTACTCACAAGGTTGCTGACGGTTGTCAACGGATTTTCAGCAACCTTATGAGTAGTACATTACAAAGGTTGATTAACCTCAGTTAGCGTGATGATGCTTCCATGTATTCGTACATGCATGTATGCCTGCGTATGTCAGTCATGAGTTAACGCGAACATATGTGTGTGCGTAAAGGACAGTAAAAACGCCATTTACAGAAAGAGTCGTGGCGCAAACGAGCTGCCAGCAGAAAGGGGTGGGGGAAGGAAAGAGCTATGTGGACGACGGAGGACGTCCACGGAAGTTCACCAAATGCCTCCTTACACCACCGACTTCCAAAACAGACAACATAATAGCCACAGATTAACTGACTCCAAACCTAGATTGATCATTGTCGTGAATTACTGATAGAGACTCTTCACCGTCTGTCACTTTTCCTGGAAACTCTGTGTGTGTAAATGCACTTGTCTGCATTTTTCAAGACTACGCGGAATATGCACAACCCACGTGCCGAGTATTTTGTGCTTCCCTAATCCAAACGAATGCTGACTCGATTTTAGATACCGGCTATCATTGGACAGAAATCTCTGAGCCAGAAGGTTTAGATACCTCTCGTGCAACCTCAAAAACCTCTGGTATAAGCTAGTCGACCTCTTTCAAACACTGGATCTCCGGTATGACTGTCATCTTATCGAACGCCAGGAGCCGAATACTTTTCGTACCACAGCAGACTGTTAAAACTCGACCGCTTGCAGATCGAGGAATCCAGTGAAGTATACTGTCAGAAAACGAGGAGGGGGCTGGATATTTCTCGAACTATTCGAATTTCGTCTCGGCTGATTCATGCAACTGCTACTCGGATTACCCTCGTTAGTAGTAGAGCGGGTTTGGAAAAAACTAGCGACCTGTAAAATAAACATGCACTGTGTTATCCACCTTCAATCTTGTGGATGCACACATCTTCTGGTTCTGAAGGCACTGCCTTGCTCTGGTAATGAATATCCACCAATCTTTCACTTTGAACTGCCTATCTTACTTGCGCTCGCCTATGGAAACGAGTCCGTCCCAGAAAACCAGGGTGAGTTGATAGCTATGCATATCTCACAAACTACTGTGGCTTGGCTGTGTCGCCTACCGGGAGGACCGTTCCTCTCTAGTATTGCTTAGTTCTCCCTCTGCATCATAGTATCTTGGAAGCGAACAGGATGACAACAGTACCTGTTGGATCGATCACATAACTTCGCGTCATGTAATCAGTAAACTACGCTTTAGAAAGAGCGCTTGAAAAAGTGCTCGCAGCAACTTCGAAGCTACTTGGAATTCGAATTTTCTTGTCTAACAAGAAGTCATGAAATTCCAATAGATCAGGAAGACGAAGGTTTTGTGAAGTTTAACAATGGAACCCGTTAAACTTGTTAATATGGGGGAACGAAAATGGAATGTCGACAGTTTGAAGTTGTGATCACGACAACGGGTCGACAGCAGTTCACGCGTTTTCATTGGCTCACTTTACTTTGCTTTACTCTTGACTGCCGCAGTGACACCAGGGGCAAGAACAAGCCTCTAAGGCGGATGTGTTCCCCCATGAAATATAGATGAAAATTATATTGTCACTAGCGAAACACACTCACTTGCATACCAATTTGGTTTTACCGGAGACTCACCTGGAAATCAGCTGAAAATCTCTTGTATGATGTTTCTAAGCAAATGAATGTGTTGCACCAGGCCGCTTCATGCTTCGTCGCTACGATATTCGAGATATTGCGATGTATGTATAAACGTAATACACTACTCATAAGGTTTCTGGAAATTCTTCGACAGTCCACGATCGGCTTAGCACTTCTCGGGGCCCATCAGGTAGCCGCAGTCCCCGAGTCTCCGTCAACCTCATGTTCTACCTGAATCCGAATTGCACGAAATTAGCGAATATACACTCAATTGCAAACCACTTTGTTTTTGCGGGTGAATCACTTGGAACCCAGCTGTATCTCTCGTTTATGCTGTCGGGTAATCTTCAGCAACCCTACGAGTAGTGTATTATGTCCGTACGTGTCGTGTAACTTTTTTCCGAATGGAGTATGTGCGTGTACGGCAGGCTGTTTCGCTCCGACTGGATAATCGGTTACATTGTATACTTGACAAATACCAGTGTAACGGGGATACTACTGATGTTTTCCCCATCAGCAGTATCACCGTTACACCAGTACAGCTTGGTGAAAGTATGTAAAGGTCATCAGTCCCTGTAGTCTGGGCGGTTTATGTACGATTTAAGTAGACTCGAGTGAGAACAACAAGACGCTATTTCGGAATTCCTGTCAAAGAAATCGGACAATGTTAACGACTAGGAAGCCAGTACGTGTCCAACAAAAGTGCATTGCTTCATCCTGTAGCCTCATTATCTCCTGTAGATATTGCTAATTTTATATCTTCCGGGCGTCTGCTGATAAATCCAGCCAATCTGGTCAAGGACTGCCTACTGGTGTGTTTAAACACTAAAACATCGAGACATATGATGTCTTCCGTTTGACCTGGGAGTTGGTCAGCAAATCTAAGTCGATGACAGATGGCAAGTTCACCACGGTGGTCTTCCTTCCCTAAGGAAGTCTACCATTCCAGAAACCACTGTCCATGCGATAAAAAGGGCCACTTGGCAAGGAAAATATCTCCTGAGGGAGCGGAGGCTCTTCGCAGAACGAGTACGATGTCACAACTGTTATGTTACAGCCGGAAGAACTCGTATTTCCTAGAATAAGGGGCTGTGGGAGTCAAATCTAGTAGAGTGTTCCATCTGCACTCGGGATGGAGTGATTCCCCAGGTATCAGCATCATGAGAGGGCCATCTATTGGGAGAAATAATCAGTCTGTTTGAAATAATTAATGGACCTTCTTGGTTAGCTGTTTTTGTGGTGGATGGAAACCTCAGATTCATGTTAGTTTCACGGCCACAGTATTTTAATTTACAAACAATTCTTTGTCTCTACAGGACCAAGTTGGTTGTCGGGGCCTATCCAAAGGGAAGACTTTAGCTTTCCTCTACTCTGACATCCTATCCTGATTTGAATAGTTAAGCAAACGCAGGTTTGGTCAATTGGGCCAGAACGAATATTAGATTAAATCTCTTATGCTGCAAAGTGGATCGATAATCATATAATTTGTTTGGTTCGATGTTCATATGTCTCCTTCACTCTGGCTGAATCAGAGTGAAACACCCATTCCGTTCTTATCCGAGACATTTAACTTGTGGGGTGACCTCAGTTTTGGCCGCGTACCGCGTACGAAAACTGTGTTCAAGCGCGTTAATCTCAGAAAGTTGGAGCTTATAAACTTGACTCGACTGAAACCTGAGCAGCAAGTCTGGCCAACTACAAATTCAATGCTTTGCATCAAATTCTTCTGTAGGGGATTCCGAACTGACTTTGTTTCTAGTGAACCGTTTTCAACTACCATCGGTTTTCATTCTGCCTACCAACTTCTTTCGTGAACTTCTTTCAAGAACAACATGATCAGTAGTATATATTGGAAGCTTATTTGCATACAAATTTGGTTTTCGCGTAGACTAACCTGAATCCCAGCTGGATCCATCATTTACGATGTTCTTCTTCAACTGAGTATGCCGCATTAGGGTGTCTCATGCTCCAGCAGGTACGATGTTCGAGTTGTCGCAATGCGTTATTCAGACGTAACATACTACTCATAAGACTGCTGAACACTCTCCGACAGTCCATGTAGTTTCAGTTCACGAGTTTCCGTCAAATTCATGTTCTACTTGAATTCAAATTGTATGGCTTTTGGCAAATACACTCACTTGTAGACGATTTTGGTCTTGGAAGGAGACTCAGCTGAATTAGAGTTGGGCTGGGCAGTCGATGGCAAGGGCCTTTTGTCGTCACCGACCGCCGGGGGACGTCTGTACCATTCAATATGGTCGGGGGTCGAAAGTAGTGAATGGGACAAAATGGAAGGAAGAAGGCCTTCGCTACAGAGTAATTTCTCCGGAAATGCCAACTGACCGGTTACAGACCATTGAACAAGAATGCAAAACTCTAATCTGCATCTCAGTTACAAAAACTGGACACAGATCTTCTCCCGAACGAGTCTTCCTGGAGATTCATTACCCCCAATCATTCGTCGGTCAAATAAAAGCAAATTTTACAAAGTGGCCCCGCGAATTCCGCAACAGAATTCCATTTTTCAAACGACGCAAAGCGAAATTCTACGAACAACACATACTACTCGCGTGCCTCCCCATCAGTAGTACCAGGCAGAATTTGGGTTCAAGTAGAACATAAGGTCAACAGAAACTTGTGGCCCGCTCCCACCTGATGAGCTGTGGAATTGGTCGTGGGTTGTAGAGAAGTTTTCAACAACCTTATGAGTAGCGTGTTATCTTCCGCAATTTTAAGTTTTCCAAATACTTCCGGAGCCTGGCGTCCTACTTCCAAGAAACTTCACTTTGAAATTCGCTGTCCAATTTCATACTAATATCAATCACCGTCAATGATCATAATATCATTTCTACAATATATTTCCTCAGGCTTTGAACGTCGATGAGCCGGTGACCGTGACGCAGATACAAATGAAGAGCTGGCCAGATCATGGAGTGCCAGACGTAGAAGAATTCGCCGCGCTTATCGATGAGTATCGTAGACTCAAAGATGCCGAACCACCTGGTCATGGACCATCGCTGATTCATTGCAGGTTTGTGTTCGTCTCCTTCGGACGGTCGTAACGAATCTTTTTTTTCTACCCAACTGTAAGATACTACTGATAATCCATCTTGTCGACAAGTTGACCTAACCTGGCCACATTTGTCTCCAATAATCTAAGCCCATCGTTGCTGATGTTTTGCTCTCCAAACAGTGCCGGGATCGGACGTTCTGGAATCTTTATCGCAGCGGATGTAATTCGCAGACAACTGGAAAAAGGCGTGCAGTATTTTGACATACAAGGCACGGTTTTGCAACTGCGTACGTGCCGTATGCACATGGTGGAGAAGGCGGTAAGTCGGATTGGGTGGGGTGCCTAACCGTTTCATCCTGCAGCTTGTCAGATGTGATATCGCAAAGCTTCCGTAGTTGCTAAAATGGTCCCAAGTTGTGCTTTTCCTTGCTACCATGGTGCAACTCTGGAAAGACTAGGGCTACTTTGTTCCGGACCGAGTAATTTTCAAAAGCCAAGTAATTTTTCACCAGGCAGACATCAATAGTGGCCTTTACATTGGATCCGGAAACCAATATTTACACAAAATGGTCAACCGACTTATTGCTGTCCACATGCGGTGATCCCTTCCAAAAATCGATCTAGCTTGGGGTCAAACAAAACGACTGATTTTCCTAAAGTGGTTCCCACATTTTACCCTCTGTGTAACAACAACCCCACCTGAGGTTGCATGCTCCCTGTTTGTTTGTTCTTTGGCACCTAAGATACTAGTAAGTCTTTAAAATGCTACTAAAATATTCAACCGTACACATTCTTACAATCGGTCTTACCAAAGAAACTGATTGGCAAATGAATTTCACCGTCCAAAACAGGAAAAGAATATCTTGCCGTAGAAGGTGACGGAAGGGAGTTATGGTTCAGCAACTTGCAGTAATGAACATAAAAATACCTTTTCGGCCTCATTTAGGTGGTTTTGTCCCGAAATCGGGGGCAAGCTGTTCTTAGCAATCTGATAATTAGGTCCTGAAATCTGGACCTTTAAATAATTTTACTGCCACTTTTGTCCCAGCTTTCCACTGTTGTGAACAATGGGTTAGCTCATCGAACGTCCCAGTATGTGTTTAAGAGGGGTTTGATAAACAATCGCTGGATTTAGTGTTGGGCTCTTGACACGGAAGCTTCATCAGGCCAAGAGAAGAGGTACGCAGGTTGATCGGGTTTTAAAGCAGTCCGGGAACCAGTCCGTGACTAGCCGACTTGATTGATTTTGGTCTGAAGTTTCTGTTTGTTTTAAGCGTCCATCCTCTGCGTCATTCAGTCCTGAGTATTCCCTTCGGTTGCCATACTACCTTTGAAGAACGCATGTGTAGTCATATCGGACTGTGGATTTTGCGCTGGGCCATAACACGACTTATTTCGGCGATGAAAATTCATGAGGGCCCAGTCCGTAGGGTGATTAGAGCAAGCATACATGATGGATTTGTCCAGAAAGGGTTTTCTGTATTTTCCTTCGTGGGAGTCGCTCACACCTCCGTTGGGCGGTTACACTAAGACCTCAATGTCCATTCAAAAATGTTCGATCATCGATTCAGATTTGTACACATAACTAATGACTCTCGCACACCTCAGGCAGTCAAGACCTCAAGATTTTTTCCGTTCACTGAATCATGGGCCGAGTCACAACAGTTTCAATGCTGTTAACTATCCTGTAATCTTGCATTTCCCAACCAAAGATAGTGGCTCTGATTTAGGTGTCGGACAGCCACAGGAAGACGGTAGAACAAGTTTAAAGATTAACTTTTCCAGACACTCGAAGGATTTCGTAATGTCAAATGCCGTTACGTCTGGTGACCATCAGGTAATAATACCTTGGGATTCTATCATCTCCCATCGATTATTTATGAACTTAGCTGGAAAAATCATTGTACATTTGCCTAGAAATCTACTCGAGTTAATACCGAAATAAGGCGAGTGGCTCCCACAACGTTGACAGAAACAAAAGGGAATTTCATGAAAGTTTGGTAGCCGTGTTGAAATGGAATCCAAACCGCCTTGAATCAATAAATTTGCCGATAAAGTAGGTGATACTCTTGTTGGATGGCCATCATTTCGGACGAACACAAAGCCTTCTTGTAAGGTATTTAGATTTTGAACAAATTTCGAAGACTCGGTGACGATTGCCTCTAGCAAATGAAGTCAGTCTGCTGAAGAGTATCACACAATCGCCTCATCACTGTTGGAATCACTCAGCTTGGCAACTTCCACCAACTTCCAAATGATGCCTGACCTCGGTTAGTGACTGAACCGCCAACCGAAACGTGAGCAAATTTCTTACCGGAACACCACTCAACGGTTTGGCAAAAAGCTCATTCGCGTCCAACCTAACTGTCAGCGGGCGCGTAGTCAATCCGAATGAGCTGTTTCATGCCGCTTACCGTGCACCCAATAGAATGCCAATATCGATGCGCTGGCGTGACTTCACTAGGGCCGAAGCAGTCGCGACACATCTGCGAAACCCAGTTCTGTGCTGTCCAAAACGCTTCGTGCGCACACTGAGTCAGCCTTGATCGTGTGACACGAATGAACCGACCGAGTCACTCAATCAACGGCCCTCTAGACTGTCTCACAGCATCCAATCAGATGTGACGCGGATGTGCGCAGACAACCAGTCGTTCGTGTATCCACACTTTTCATTTCGCCAGCCACTCTTGGCTGCGTATTTCATTTTTCAGTCACATTTTAACCATTGATGATTGTCACTGTGTTCTTGTTGAGACATTCTGTCACCGGTGCCTGCTTAGCAGTAGTACCGCCGTAAATTGAGTACGTAGTTTGCATCAAGTGAAGCAGTTTCTGTTGACTCCGCGAGTAATTACATTTTTCATACAAAGCCTGCATGATTACTTATAGCGAGTATACACTCATTTGCAAACTAATTTGGTTCTTTCGCCCCAAAAAGGGCGAAACCGGTCGTAGGCTGTCGATGGATTTTCAGCAACCTTATGAGTAGTACACTACAAGGATTACTTATAGTTTGTCGGTAATGGGGACAATTTCTACGTTCGACTGCGGCCATATCCTGCATATGATATCAGTGCACGCTGGCTGGTCCGAAAGCTCCGAACAGTCACTTCATCGCTGTTTGGGGGTAAACGCTAGCGAAGCAGATAGCTAATCAGCCACTCGTGACAGAGAGTTATAGGGTGCAGGTCGAGGGGTCGAATATCCCCAAAGGTTCGTGAGGGGGGCACTGCTGAAATTCCAGCAAAATTTAAGGGGGTCGTTCAGCTTTTGTCGTTTTTTTCAGCATAAAATGACATCACCCCTGAATGCAGGACGGGTTATGTCATAGCAATACGAAATAAAGGCTATTAAAACCAAACTGCACTCTGGGGAATCTTCATGCCTTTTTGGCTGAGGCTCGCGCTGTTCTTTCTGGACAGGTCACTTATTTTGATCAGTTTAGTTTGACATTGTAGCTCACAGCCGACAATATATGGGGCTGGCGCTCTGACGCCTACAGTCGACAGTGAACGATCATATCCGAGACTTGGGCCCAGGTCATCATCCTCGTTTCTCCATATAGCCCTGCATCACCTCTCCGAAGAATCGATTGTTTGCTGACGACAATCAGTAGAGTGAATGAAGCAAAACTGGTGGTTTGGAAAGTAGGCTGATGAAGTTTGTCTTTAATCGGCGAAAAGCGGATGAACCAAAGAACTCTGTGAGCTTGTTTGGTCATTGACACCGTATTCCGAACCTATTTGAGAATCGATAGGGAATCTCTTGTGGGAGTACCAACTTCACCCTTTCAGTGGCTAGCTGCCATGCCACCTGAAGAAAGCACGGGAGATGGGATACTACCAAGTTGCCCAAGTCTAGACAGAGGAAGTCGAGATGCATTAGTCGGGTTCGAACCACGGACTTCCGGGCAGTAAATTTGCGCTATGAACTCTGAGCCATCTCGCCCCCAGAGAAGAAATACGACACGGAACACAGTAAAAACACTAAGACACCTTGAACTCTGTTGTTTATTGTATTTCTTCGGGTTTGTGATGAAATCGAGCTAGGGAAAAAGGTTGTTAGTGAGGTTCAAAACCATCTGCTCGCAATACAGCCCTAATGACTAAAGTGAATCAATCGTCATTGTTGATTATCTATAATCAAAGTTTCGTAGCCGCGACCTGATGCAAAATGATTGTGATGTGATTGTTTCTTATTTGAAGCACGTGACAAATTAATTCAAGCAGAATTTGCCAACTCACGGAATAAGCCGTAATCTTCGGTCACTTGGATTCTGTGTCCGATAAAGTCGCTAGATATCCCATTCGTTATGTACCGTTGTCGAGGTTCTACATTTAAATCTGACCAGGTCTTATGAAATTGTTGCTACACGCTTCTGTTAGGTATGATGTAGGCATAGGTGAACACTCGGACACATTTCGTGCCCCATGTCCCGCAAATACTACTTTTAACTTTGTCATCAACTTGTTTCTATTCGCATGTACCGTTTCAGCCGCAATACGTCTTCTTGCACATGTACCTGAAGTCACTTTTGGAAAACTACTGAGTGCAAACGTGAGGTGAGTGCCCCATTATCGTACACACACGACTCTTTGTGGTAAACCTGTGGAATTCTGAATGGTCCCAAATGTGCTGATTGGCGAGTTTTTCTCAACTATTGTACATGCTCGGCATCCTTTTGTTGCCAGTTGGGGGGACCAGTCTTGAATGAATGAATGATGATACTAAATTTAGAAACAACGATTATTCGGCTCTATAAAACCCGCGATAAATCCAGAATGAAACAATTCAACGGACTGCCTAGATCAACGTCACCGAAACATGCGAGAATATTCTGACGATGACGTCCTGGCACCCGATCAGCATGGGGATGTCTACTGGGGGAAATCGCCCCAATCGGTGAAAAACGTGAGGTTCTTGCTTTATCCAATCCAAATTGGGCTGTCCATTCACAGTCATGTGCTTTTATCGACATCCAAACACCCAGTGGAAGCAACCTCAGTTGCTCGCAAATGGTATATTTCCACCTTTAGGTTAGTGGAACGAACGGCGAAACTAAAAGTACAACTGGGCTATAGGCAGCTCAATAAGCAGCACAAATTAGGATTACAGTGGTCCAGTAATTCAGGAAGAATCGGTCACCAAAGCCGAACGGGGTTCAACTGTCTGCTTTCCTAGTAAGTGATTTACGTTGAGGAGCTCTTTGCCAAAAACTTGCCTCTCTACTGTTGGCTTGTTATTATCGTTTTCCACTCGACAGCTAAGTTCTTGAGACAAGTACAGATTTGTCCCTTGAAAAGGTAGTATTCCAGTTAT